CCCCAAAACCCCAAAACCCCATTTGCAAAGATTAATAATAAAAGAGGTAAATTTGAATTTGAAATAATTGCAAATTTAAATGGAAGAACAAATTTATCTCAGATATGGCTAAATCGTAGGAATTGATTTATTCATTAGATTTTATTTAGATATCATTGAAATCACTAAAGAATGGAAAGTATCTTACAGTCAATCTGAAAGAAGGATAGGCTTCAGCGACAGGTTATCATCCTATTTTATACGTATAAATCTTGATAATACCTAATTCACATCATAGGTCTCCGATATGGATGTAAACAAAGGAGAAGAATTAACAATTTTGAAATTTGAGGACAGAGAGTCTAGAGACCCGGTGACATTTAGCTCTTCAGTCTGTTTGCAAACTCCTTAAGGATACTTTTTATCATTTAATAGTAGTGGAGAACTTAAAGTAGAGAAAAATATGTCATTTGAGACTCATAACACAACAACAGCCAAATTGACCAAGTGGAACATCTATGATGCTAAGAACACAAAGAGTACAAATATTGTGACACCTTTCGATGATATCGTTTTAAAGTCACCATTTGGAGAGTTTTTCTAAGTGTAAAATAATGAAATAATTGGAGCAAATGGGAAAGAGTCTAATGAAAACTGCATCTTTAAAATAGTTAAGGCGGGCATTCCATTCCTGCCAGATTGGATATTCAAAAGACCTCATTTGAATCATAATAATATCACTGGATAATACTAAGGATTCTTGTAGCAATAACAGAGAGTTAAGAATGAGGAAAGACCTAAGAATTTGGGAACATTTCCTATAGAAATTTAGGAAACTTTTCTGATTGAAGATCTATTATTCGCAATGAGCAATATCGAGGGTGTATATATAAAAAGAAAGCAAGTATAAGGAATTGATGGGTCAGTTAGAAGTGAGTTTCAGATTGAGCCTTATCTCTAATAGCCAACTGCTGATTTCTCATTATAATTCTTGGTCAATAAGATGTTGCCATTGTGCACCAATCATGATATAGTACAGGAATTCATTAACGTTCATTCTTAATTTGAGTTTGGTTTAGTTTCTCATGCTCTCTGTGATGCTATCAGAATATTAATGAAAGAGTATCTATTATTAGTCACCTAACTAGACACTGAATTCATGAAGTCAGACTTGACTTTGCAAAAAGTATGGTTCTATATTTAAAGCTCACTTAGAATTATGGAAAATCTAAAAAGGCTAACTTAGGAAGCTGGGAATAAGAAGGGAGGTGCTCTATTGAATGTGATATACAGACTCATGATTAATAGCAGCGATAAATCAATCAGAGATTTATTTGAATTCTTATTGGAGAAGAGTGCCTTGCCATATTTCTAAATTCTTAAGAAATGGATATTTCAGGGTATCTTGGATGATCCATTCTAAGAATTCATAGTTAAAGAAAATAAATAATACAGTAAGGAGAATATTGAGAAAGATTTTAATGATTAATACTGGGCTGAGAGATTTACCTATAGGGATGAGATGGTGCCTATTTTCCTAGCCAAATATAAAGAAAAGGTAATGCACTCTGGTAAATATCTAAACGTTATAAGAGAATGCGGCAAAGATGTGAAATACCCATATGAATAAGAAAACCTACTCTAAGGTGTTCTACCTCATAATGCTGGTGATGAAGAGATGAAAGATGTGGATGCAATTTAGCCACGATAGTTCTAATAGAGTTCACCCTAGTCACAGTAATTCGATTTCTTTGAACCAATAGAAAAGGCTTATGAATGGAGTTCTTAATAGCTTCTTAATTTAATCTTTAATGAATGCCAACTCATAAAAAGACTTGAGTCTTTGAAGCACTATTTCTTCTTAGATAGAGGTGACTTTTTCCTTCATTTTGTTGAAGGATCAGAGGAAATATTAGAGACTTAAACCTCTCAGATGACAATGGAAAAACTTGAAAGTTATCTTGAGATGGCTATCAGAACTTCAAGTGCAAATGCTGATCCATTCAAGGATGATGTGAAATGCGAGCTTAATTCCTATGGACTAATTGAGTAGTTATTTGCAATAAGAAATATCAGAGGTGCTCTGGGCATTAATGCAGGAATATCTGGTAATAATTAAAATCCACTCTATGAATTCAAGCCTACTGCTAAAACTCTGAAAGTATTAGAGGCATTTACTCTGGATTATACAGTGAAATGGCCCTTGACATTGATCTTATCCAGAAAGACCATCACAAAGTATCAGTTGATATTCAGACATTTGCTTTATTGCAAGTATGTCGAGAGAAATTTGGATATAGTATGGTCACATCATCAATCAACTAAGGAGTATTCACTTCATGGTGTCTTGCAAAAGACCTTCCTACTCAGACATAGAATGTCCCAGTTTTGTAAAAACTATATCTACTATATGGTGGTTGAGGTGCTAGAACCTAATTTCCACAAATTCAAGGAAAGTCTAAAGAAGGTAAAGACCATTGATGAGATTTTAAATTTGCACAACAACTTCCAAGATGAATGCCTTAAGGAATGCTTACTTACTGACTAAAATCTGTTCAGAATCCTAACTAAGCTAAACCAGACAATTCATTTCTTCAGCAGAATCATATTTAGATCTTTCTAGTCTCTGCAAAGTGAAGAGACTTTGAATCTAGCAGAGGCTGAAGACAACTATTATGGCAGAGGAAAATACTAAGATGATGATGAAGATTTGAAGGATAGTATTGACATCCACCATTTACGCAGAAGAAAGGAGCGCATTGAGAAGAAGTCTGAAAATATTAGATCTGCCATCAGAGAATAGAACTATTAGAGAACAGTAGACAAGTTCCAATCTACCTTTGACAATCATATCAAGGAGTTGATTCAAGTTTTGACTTAGAGTAAGAGATATGAAACTCATATTGCTAATTTAGCCACTAGATTGGACTATAATGGTTACTACTCTGAGAAGTTCTAGCAAGAAAACCAGTTCATGAATTGATTTAAAGAAGTAAACAACTACAAGTGTTATAAAAGATCTTATATTGAGTTTAATCATATTCAAATCTTATGGACAGTATGGGGTTTTGGGGTTTTGGGGTTTTGGGGTTTTGGGG